TTCAGAGTCTAGGGCAGAACAGTGGGCTGGCAAAGTCTAGAGGTGGAACGGCCGGTTACGCCACTCCTTAAAGCCCTTTTCCCAAACCACCTCGATGCTTTCCTCAAACCAGGTAAATCATCTTTTGGCACATTTCAAAAAGTGTGAAACTGTCCATTCCTTAATAGTTAGTTATATGTTTTACAATTGCCGAAGGGCTTTCACATCAATTCTGTGAAGTAAGTATCAGAAACCAAGGCTCAGAGAAGATAAATGATTTGCCTCTGAACACAGTTCTCGCTAAGTGACAGGGATGGGACCTGAACCGGGATCTGCCTCTAAGTCCAGGACCCTTTCTGCAATATTGCAACTAAAGATGGTTTCAACCGAGTGGCTGCAATTTTTCTCAGATTTCAATTTTCCAGAAAGTCTAATTACTGCTCAAGGAATTTCCAAATCTGACCGCTCTGAATGGAGCCTCTCCTTGTCCAAGTGAAAAAAGCCATTTCCAACATGAAAATTCCAGCCCTCCCTTAGCTTTACTCAACAGTCTACAGTAGCTACTTTTTTTTTATAGGGTTCTTGGCTTCTTAACATTGTCCAAAAATACCCCTACAAATTTAAAGATGGTACCATTGGGACAGGAGACTTTCTCCAGGGGAAGGGACACAAACCACTGCCCATTCTTAGGCCCATGCTGGAACAGAAGAAAGCTGGGACTCACTTGTTCGGACCAGAGAGCCATGAGCTCAGTGAGGAAGCAAACCTGCACCGCCTCTTCCCTGCAGGAGCTGGACGGAGGGCGCCCTCACAGAGCCTGAGTCAAGGTGGGTCACAGTCGACACACCACCAGAGGTCACCTGCTCACAGAGGAGTAAAGAGAAGAGGGGACCCTTCAACTCCAGACCCAGCCAAAGGAAGGTGGAGTGTGTGACTAGGTTTGGAAAGGCTTTTGCTTCTACTCACTCTGCCTCCAACTATCTGGTTGCTTTGGAGACCCGAAGAGCCAAGAGCAAGCACCTCGCTGACACTGATCGGCCTCTGATCCCCTTGCTGGTTGGTCCAGAGGAGCCACCCGGAACTAACCACTTGGGTACCCAGGCCAGACCTGCATGCTCTTTGGGAAATATGCTGGGAGAGTTTATGGCCACCATAAACGGACACCTTTTCAATCTGGGGCCATGCTGATACACTCAATTTGCCACAGTGACATCCCGTAACATACTACCCGTCATCACACCCCTCCCTCAGCTCCAAATTTCCTAGGCAGCAGGTTTCCCGTGATACGGAATGGGAATACCTGAGGTTCAAACCAGGGACAAAAGGCAGAACTCTCACTGCCTACAGGACTCAGGGATCAATGGCCACTGTCTGGCTCTGGGACACCATCCCAGATAAAGGAGAAAGAAGAGGCACAGGCCCCCTCAACTTCCGACTCCCTCTTGGGTTGTCTTTCATGGCTCCCCAAACTCAGCCTACAATGATGGGGAATGACCATCGCTCTCTGAGGGGAATGCACAAGGCCAGAGCCCACAGCTGCACAGCGTGGACATGGATTTCTGTGGACATGGGCAGGCAGAGGGGGCCTCAGGGATGGCAGTGATGGGTGGGGTGGGGAACGTGAGGGCTGATCAGGATTATAAAGAGACAAAAGGAAACAAGCATTAAAGAATACCTACTGTGTGCCTGGAATTTTCACAGGTATCATCTCACTTAAACTTCGCCGTAAAATTCTGTGGTATTAGCTCAAATTTACAGAAGAGGAAATAGGCTTTGCGAGGTCAAGTGACCTCATGATGGCTAGCAGACATGAAAAGTGGTGTTTAAACCCAAGATTTCTGACTTTATACTTACAGCCTGAAGACTTAATCCCAAACCACTTCCTTCCTAGGGCCTCAGTTTTCCTACTGTAATGATGAGAGAGGTGCACAGGGAAGGAAGGTGAAGGGTAAGAATGCAGGGGTGCTGGTGGCACTTTTTATTGTAAAGATGCACATCTTCTCAAGGAGTGTGTATCTTTTTTTTTAAAGATTTTATTTAGCCCTGGCTGGTGTAGCTCAGTGGATTGAGCACGGGCCTGCGAACCACACGATCACGGTTCGATTCCCAGTCAGGACACATGCCTAGGTTGCAGGCCAGTTCCCAGCAGGGGATACACGAGAGGCAACCACACATTGATATTGGCATCATCTAAAGATACCTCTTTAGATGTATCTAAAGATACATTACCTCTAAAGATAAATAAATAAAATATTTTTTAAATATTTTATTTATAAATAAATTTTTAAAAATATTTTACTTATTTATCTTTAAGAGGGAAAGGGAAGGAGAGAGGGAGAGAAATATCAATGTGTGGTTGCCTCTCATGGGTCCCCTGCTGGGAACTGGCCTGCAACCTAGGCATGTGCCCTGACTGGGAATCGAACCGCGATCGTGTGGTTCGCAGGCCCGCGCTCAATCCTCCGAGCTACACCAGCCAGGGCCCAATAGTACTTTTTAGATGTGAAATATTACACTGTAGTTTATGTAATAACCAAGTTCAGAAAATGACTCACGCCCCGGCTGGTGTGGCTCAGTGGATTGAGCGCAGTCTGTAAACCAAAGGATCACCAGTTTGATTCCCAGTCCGGGCACATGCCTGGGTTTCAGGCCAAGTCCTCAGTGGGGGCCACAGGAGAGGCAACCATACATTGATGTTTCTCTCCCTCTCTTTCTCTCTCCCTCCCCTCTCTCTAAAAATAAATAAATAAAATCTTTAAAAAAAAAGAAAATGACTCACTTAAAACTAGCTGCTAACAGGTCTTAGGTGTGCTATTATTCCTGGCCCTTCCCCCAGGGCAAGCTCCTGGTGAAGGTCTTGTGAACAGGGTTAGCGGGGAGGAGGGGGTGTAAAGCAAGAGGCCGCCACAGACAAAAAGCCTAGTTCTTTGTAATGGAAAATCTGGGGAAACCAGCTCTGGGCTAGAAAGGCTTCCCTGACCGCAGATCGCAGTAGGTAGCTGGCAGGTAGATGAGGAGCTCGGAGAACTCATGAGCCAGATATGGGGCGAGGGGCAAGCAGGGAAGACTCGTTTAGAGTTAGTTCTCCTGCTCTACTCCTCCTCCGACCCGGCCGAGGTAGCTCTGGCTGGGAGGACAGCATCCTGCCCAGGGCTGAACCATGACCTCGAAGAGGCAACCTGGACTGGGCTGGGGGAATGATGCCAAGCAGCAAAGAGCAGGGTCGGACCTTGGGATAAAGGTCGCCTCTCCTCCTGTTCGGGACTGTGTAGGGAAGAAAGGGCCCTGGGCTGTGGTCCAGTCCTATCCTCCGGCCTGCCCCCAAGCCTACGGGAGCTCACTAGTAGATGGGGGAATATTCTGGGAAATGCATGTTGAGAGAGACAAGGTCTGTTGGAAATTTTAAAAGCTGCCTTCCAGACAGTCCTCTAGACAAGTCCAGGAGACCCACAGGCACCGCGTCCTCCATCAGCTCCAGCACCAGGACTGGGAGCTGGACGCTGGATCAGCCACAGGCCTGGACAACCAGGGCTGAGTGAATGGGCAGGAAGGAGGCCAAGGGAAAGAAATCAAGAATCAGAGTGAGTCCACACATGGACTGAAAGGGAAACTCTAAGCCAAGTTTCCACAGAAAAATCAAAGGACAGACTAGAGACTGGGGTTTGGGGCCAGAAGAGGAGGCCAAGCTGCCTTATTATCTAAGCACAGGGCCACCCTCCCTTCCTGATCACGAAGGGGCTGGGAGAGCCCACCGGGGCCAGTTCTAGACCCACATTTCCTTCAGAAGCCCTTGGCAGAAGGCACTAACCATATCTAACTCTTGATGGCCTCTTCTCACGAGACCCAAAGTCAATTTCTCTTCCCCCTGGTGCTGGCAATGGTTTGGTTCCTGAGTCAAACCTACAACTACCAATGGCTCTCCCGCCCCCACTAACCTGAAGTGACCCATCGAACCTCAGGGTCTTGCCCAATCGTGGTGTTATTTATTTTTCTGATTTCTAGACAGACAGACAGACACACACACACACACACACACACGCACGCACGCACGCACACAAAATCTTGCAGGCCAGAGACAATGTCCCAGGGGGCAAGGAATGTGTTCATTTCCAGGTGTCAAGCCTCTGCTTCAGCTTCAGTGGTGGTTGTACCAGCACAGATCAGCCTGGGGCTCCTCTCCCTGCCTGGGCAGCCCTCCAGAAAGTCAGCCCAGAGAGGAAGGGTTAAGTGCCTGGGGGGCACCCAGATGGGGCTGCAGAGCAGGGCAGCCTCCAGCCCGTGGCACGACTGCTCCTCCAGCACGAGCCTGCCAGCCGCCGCCTTTGTTGACGGACTCTGCCACATGCTCGACTGACACGGACCGCCCCGCCCTGGCGGGGCTGGTGCCAGGCTGCCGGCCAAGCTCCCGGCCAAGTGCCCGGCCTCGGGTCTGGAGAGACTCTCTGAGGTACACTCTCCAGAGTCCCAGGCCCCAGTTCCCAGACAGAGACAATGAGGAGCAGCCTCCCCAGCTGGAAAGTGTCAGGTTACAACCGGTTCCACCACTTTCCCCCACTCAGGCCCATCCCTCAGCCTTGGTTACTCAGTTCCCACTGCACCTCAGCCAGGCACCCCCAACTGTCCATTTTCACTGCGGCACCCTGAAAATCGTCCCCTTAGGTAAAGGATGATCTCCCCACTCTGGCTTCAAGAAGGCCAGTTTGTCAAGCAAGGCTGCAAAAAGCCATCCCATTTGCCAGGAAGGAAGGATGGTAGCATCTTCCCACAAACCAATCTTACAGAACCTGAGCCGAGAGTGGGCAGATAACAAACTGGGAGCTGAGAGACAGGGCCGGCCTGCTCATCCAACAGGGCCTACCCAGTCCTCAGGAATCACATCAGTCAAGGCCAAAACTCTGGGACCATATCCTTGAGGTCTGGCAAAACAGAGCTGCAGAGGCAGGTCCCAGCCCCCCAGCCCCAGCAGACTGAAATCTCACCACCCCACCCCACCCTACCCCACCCCACGGCCCCACGCCTACTTGCTGCATATGAAGCCGATGAAATTGGTCTGCAATACACTGAAGCTTTCTGGCGATCTGTATCTCTGCTCGATGTTGCCACTGTCCTTCGGGGGGCTGCTCACCGAGGGGCAAGCCTGCAGGGAAACTGGCAGGGAGAGGGAGCCGGTAGCCAGCATTGCCTGCAAAGACAGAGGGCCCACATCTCAGCATTCTCCGTGACTGCCCCTTCCTCCCCATGCCTAACGCTCCTGGCAGAGGCCTGGGCAGAGGCCTTATCAGGGCAGCCTGCCAAATCTGGACAACCTGCCGTGCTTGCTGCCTAAGTGTATAAAAGTTGATGCTGAGAGAATACAAGGGGATGGCTCCAGACTCCCCTTCGGTTCTCCATTAGCTGGCAGTGCCACAGCAAAGGTAATAGTGTGGGTGAGCATGCCAACCTTCTGTCCTTCTTTACCAAGCTATTCTTGACCACAATTTATTATTCAGGTAGCAGCAGGTTCAAGTTCTTCTCTGGAAAAGCACTGGAGGCAGGTCTCCAGAGACCCTGGGTTTAGCAAAGCAAGGAACACAGAAACAGAAAACCAAAATGTGTCTTCACTTTTTAGTGTAGCAGAGGAAGGCTGGTCTCAAAGTTCTTAAAGACCTGGTCTCTTCAGGTCTTAAAGTTCTGGACCATGGTACAAAAACTAGGGAGAGAAAACTCCTCACACCCCCAGAATAGCCAAGTTCCTCTCTGGAGGCAGCCCCAGGCAAGACCTGAAGATGTGCGATCCACACTTACCAAGTGCTGGTCATCGAGCTGCCACTAGGGGCACCCACCCACCAGCCTCCTCCCTCCTTTCCCTCATCCCGCCAGAACTGCTGCCGGTTACCCTACCGGTGAGCTCCCTCCGGGAATAACTGCAGCGTCTGCCCAAGCTGTCCATCAGACCCAGCAAGAGAGCCTCTGAACCTTTCCCCTCCCTCCCTAAGCTATTGTGCTAAAAGAAGAAAACAGTGTCTAACCTTGCCCTTTTGCCAGAAGAGGGCATATTGCTCACAAAACAAACCATTTAAGTCCACAAATGAAGGGGTCTTGTCCCACTGAGCCTTGGAAACAGCCCCTCTGCTGGCATGGAGCCTAGGCAGTCCCAACATCTTTTTCCAGTTCCCCTGCCAAGCACAGCAAGTCCCAAGTGACAACTGGAGGACACCTTCTGCCTTTAGAAACCTTCTGCCCCAGAACCAGCTGGGTTTTTCCCCTTTGCTGTCAACAGCGAGTCACAGAACCCCCAACCTTCTCCAGAGCAACACCAGCTACTTTATGGAAGGTATATCACTGCTACCAGGACACAAAGGTGGGACCACTCTCCGGGCCACAGGATGTAAAAACTGAGGCTCAGGTACCCCCTCTCCAACCCAACAAGACACCATGGACCCAAGGATCCCTCCAGAAAGGGACAAAAGAACAGAAGTAATGGCAGGGCAAATTGCCCTTCTTGGTGCCCAGGGAGCACAGGTAAGGAGCAAGGACAAGCAGAAAGGCAGCAGGTGAGAGCTGAGGAAATCAATAGCCCCTGCTGCTCACTTTGGGGAAGGAAATAGCAAAGGGCAGGTTAGGGGAGGGAAAGTCCCCTCTTTTCCCCAAGCCTCTATGGGAGGAGCCCTGAGGCTATGAGCACTCACCATAAAAGAGTCGCTGGGGTTCCTCGGTCACCCCACAAGGCAGCATGACACCCTGGCTCGGGGAGGCTGGACTGAGGGTCTGAGTGGCCTTGTCTTCCTGGCTGGTGGGTCGAAGCCCAGGGCCACAGCAGTGGGTGAGGGGGAAGAGCTGCAGGCGGCTGAGGGGGCAGTCCAGCTGGCTCTGGGCAAACAGGTCAGCAGAGGGCAAGCTCCCAGGCTGGGTCCCCAGCTCATCCTCTGGCTGAAACACATCATCCTCCAGCTCCTCCACACACTGAGGTGGATCCATCTCCCCTGTTAGGGTGTAATAAGGCATCCAGGATGCTATCCCTTCTAAGCCAACCCTGAGGTGGGGGCCCTGGAGGGGGGCCCTCCCCTCCCCTCCCTTCCTTCTTCCCTCTTCTTCCTTCCTATCTTGGGAAGTGGGGACAGGTACCGATGGCTGATAACCCTGGTGATATAGTACTGCCAAGGGTGACACTTGTCCCCAAATGTGGACTGCCTCACTGTTCAGGGACTCTCTGCACCTCTTTCCTGAGACCAACCAGAGCCAACCTTCCCTCAACCTCTTCTTCTGACCTAGCAGGTCACAGTCATGAACTTTGACTGCTATGGGCTCTGAGCAATAGCATGGGTATGATCAGCTGCTACAAGCGCTCTGAGTACCTGGGGAAATGTCAACAAGACTAGGACTCTGAGAGTGGCTGTGGGAGGGCAGAAGGGTGCTGCAACTGGCTGTACACACAGAGCTCACAACACTGTCTCACACTCACTGCCCTGAGCAGTAACAACCACCGAGTCTGAGCTGAGCTCCAGGCTCAGCAATAAAAACAAAAGCCAGTCAGCAATCTTAGAGAAGCCAGGTTCCCTCCAAACCTGCTAAGCCCCGCCCAGCTGCCCATCTAGTCTAGTCTCCACCCCCAGCTTGCTCAACACAACAAACAGGCTCCCTGGTGTGTGGTAAGAGTGTGTCCTGGGAGAGAGAGGGAAGAAAAACCCAAATTAGTCATTGCAGCTGCCCTCTTAGCGCTGGGTGGGAGAGCAGTGTGCCCACCACAGCTTGGCCTGGAGGGTAGGGTTAGGAGAAGTGGCCAGCCTCCCCCAGCTCAGTCCACTCACTAGTTTCCATGACTTCAAATCTCTCCCCACAGCTTACCATTCCTGCCAGTGCTGAACCTGAGATTGGTACATCCTGCCTCACAGGAGGAAGTGAAATTTGGCCCTTTCTCTGTGACCTCACTCACTGCCTATACTACTCAGGTTGTTGATATGAGTTTCTTGGTAATAAAGAAGTTCCTTTGGCTTCACCTGATGACTCTTGGAAGTCTGACCTTGGAGCCACCTAGCATCTTGAGTTCCCAAAGCAGCCCCCTACATACACACTAGGAACCCCACAGAGTCCCTGGAGCAGCCAGAAGCAACAACCTGAATGGTTAAGGATACAGAGAAACAATGTTTGTCACTGCCAGATTCAATTAGAGATCCCCTGGGAATTCTGCCTCCCAGTCTCCTGCTTTGAAGAACAAGCCAAATGGTCTGTGGGTTGATAAAGTACTTAAAGAAATCTCAATTAAACTCAGAAATCCTGGCTTTCCCAAATGCAAGCTATCTGAGATGCTTGCTTCAAGTCTCCCTCCATCCCATCTAGTCCTGAAGCTATGGTCCTATTCTCTCTGCCCTCCTCCCTGGAGAGTGAGGAGATGCCCACTTGGAGGGCAAAACAGGCACCTGATGTTCTTTGAATAGTTTTTCCCAAAGCGGGGGTGGGAGAACTTCAGCTTATCAGCACTAGGAAACAAAGTTTCCTGCTGAAAAGACCAAAGGCTGTCCTGCTAGTCACCTGGCAAGGGCTCCCCTCCTGCCCCCTTCAACCTTCACTTGGCAAGCTGGCAATCCCAACCTAAGAGAAGGGGCCCTCCAAAGCCAATCACAAGCAGGACTCATTGTCTTGGTTCTTCCTTTGAAGCCCATTACCTTCCCCTCCCCCTCCCAGCAAAGCCCCAAAGTTCAACCCATGCTTGGCCTGGATTGTGGGGGAGGTACAGCCAGAGGGTGTGGCTCTCCCAGCTGAGGGACCCTTCCCACTCTACAGAAACTTAAGGTGGAAGCCTCCGGAGGGGTATCGGGCAAGGTCAAGTGTAAAGTGGGATACAGTGGAGAGACCCTCTTCTCCCCCTCCCCAGACCTGAAGAGGTGATGTTCAAACTGGTAGGAGGAACACTTCCTAAGAGCTTTGCTAGGGAAGGCTTTATTCCTAGCAAGGGGAACTAAAGCCGCTGTTGCCAACCCAGCCGCTACGGGCTCTAACAGAGATGCTGAACTTAGACTCCTCCTCCTAGGAGAAGGCGGCAGACAGACACTCTGAACCTCAACAGGGACTAAAATCTGGGAACGCTCACATACACACTCACACTCACTTTCACACAACACACAGCAGACCTGGGTGACTCCAGGAGAGAGTCTCAGCCTCCGAGTCGTGATGCCAGGGCTCCGCGCCAGGGTCCAGCGTGACGAGCACTCAGGGGCTTGGCGCCCGGACTCAATTGGGAAGGAGGGAAAAGCCCAGCTGTTAAGGAGAGGGGCCTTCAGACTCCGCAAGGAGGCAGGACGCCCCAGAACTCTCTGCCCTACCCCAAAGTAAGATCCAAGGACCGGGCGGTTCTCTGGCGACCAGGTCAACTGAGCAGTGCGCTGCAGGTTCCCCTGCCCACCTGGACCCAACTCCTTGGTCTCTCAAGTGCTGCAAACCCCAAATCGCCTCGTGAAGCAGCGCACCTAGATGTGGACTCTGCACCCCGTGCCCGCAGCCCAGCGCCCCAGTCCTTCGTGGTCACCCCAGACACCCGCAGCCCAACCCTTCCCGGGCCCCCACGCGCAGCGCGACTCCTCTCCCCATTTCCCCGAGGAGGTACGATCGAACTCCGCCCGGCTCCCGGCCGCCCGGGCGCTCACCGGGCTGTAACGGGAGGCGGGAGGCGCAAACAGGGGCGGCAGCGGCAGCGGGCGGGCGGGCGCGGAAGGAGGCCACTCGGCACCTCGCGGTATTGTTTCCAAAATACGCCCGCTCTGGGCATCCCGCAAACAGCTGATGAGGCCCCGCCTCCAACGCGTCACGCCGACGGCTGGCCAATGGTGAGTGGAGCCTCAAGTCCCGGGCTGGGCGGCTGCCAGGGACAGTCAAGAATGTACGAACCTTCCCTTGGAAATATTGCAAGGGGCCGAGCAAAATTCTGACCCACGCCAGAAACGCAATTATTGCGAGGTCGTCCCCGCAGATTCTGTTCCTTATGTAGCCTCAGGAAGCAGTAGAAGGTCCGCGAGCCCTATTAGGATCGAGCGAGAGGGCGCCAAAGTGACTTTTGTCTTCTTCCTCGGGAATGGGCAGAATAGACTCAGCATCCAGACAGGGAGGGGCGGGGAGACAGAGAGCATTTAGACGCGGCGCGGCTGGCGGCGTCCAGTGGGTTCTGGTGCGGGTCCCTGTGGATCCCAGCCGGGTGGCAAAGCACCCCCCCACTCACCGAACTAGTCTGGGGAAAACTCCAACCCCGAATCCGTAGGAATCCTGAGAACATGTGTCTAGTGCTGTTACCGGGTGACTTTCAGATGAAATGCATCCAAAGGGATTCTCAGGTACTCTTCATGACTGAGTGTGGACACTTACAAAATAAGCATCTGGCTGAGGAGAGGAGAAATAAAAAAAGTGCAGGGACTACTTGGGTAATTAACACACATCCTCTTTATGGCGGCATCCAGAGGTGGTGCTAGTGCTGCCAGGAGAGCAGTGTGCCCTGCAGATGGTATACTATCCGTAAGGGAGTCTGTGGCCTAATCCAAAACATTTATTGAGCACCTACATTGTACTACTGAGCTGGGTGCCAAAAACCTGGTTCTGCTGTCAGGAAGCTTATAACCTACTGGGAGAGGTAGACCTGAAAATAATGGAAAACAGTATGAAATGTGTTAATTTCAAGAATAATGACACCTGGGAGACACAAAGCAGACTGGCAGAGGCTTCAGAGAGATGGCTTTCAAGTTGGGCCTTGAAGGAGGGGGACATTTTTTCGATACGGAAACCATATAAAACTGCCCAGGCCTAGGGGCAGCAGAACAAAGTGAACTGGAGAATCTGGCCTGGGAGGAGGCTGGAGGAGGAGACCATTGGGTGCACACTGGGATTTAGGAAGGGTGGGCATGGACAGGTAGATTCAAGTCAGAGTACGTTGGCATCCCTAGATTGCCAGGTTGGGGAATCTGCACTTTATTCTGGAGGCAAACGGAAGCCAGCAAAGATTTTATAGAAGATAGAGTGACTTGAATAAGCGTGAATTTTAGGAAAGATAAATGAAGAGTCCAGAAATGAGTGAGAGGCAGCCAGTCTCTGCGATAGACTAAGTAGATCAGTGATGGGGCCTGATTCCAGCGGTGGTGGCAACTGGCAGTCCTCTGACTACCAAGCTGCTCTCTCTGGGCTGTAAACTCAGACAGATTTAAGTTTAAGGGAGTTGGGACCATTAGCTCAGAAGAGCCTGAAGTCATCTTATACCTTTTTTCCTACCCCTTCTTTCTCTAGCTCCCTCAAAGTCAGGTTAAAAAAAAAAAAAAAAAAAGAGCAAACCGGGGTACTGAGCACTGTAGCTGCTGGAACAAGAAAACAGTTCCAAAAGGATGGAGAGGAGGGAAAGGGGGGAGGGTCAAGGTTGGCCAGTAGCCCAGTCCCCCCAGGACTTGACGGACATCCAAAAGGAGGTGCTGGAGCCAAAAGAAGGTACATTATTTGAGCAGGAGGCTGGGTCAAGAGGAGGTATCAGAACCCATGAGTGTACCTGTGGGGAGATGAGGAGACCAAACCCAACCTCCATGCAGGGTTCTCGGGAGCCCTCATCATGTTCACCACACACAGATCTCCTTCCCCTCCTCCCTCCCATCCTTCTTATTGGCTTTCCTCCTGGGCCAGTGTTACAGGCTGACCAGTGATGACGACAGGAATTACTTAGGGTAAAGGATGAAACTAAAGGGTAAAGCAGCTCTGAATCTGTCCTCCAGGGCATCGTAGGCCCCAGGGGACAGAGGTCGCCCTAATTCTACTGACCCACCCAAGCTGCTAAGGGTCTGTCTGCTTTGGGTCCACAGGGCCAGGAAGCTGGTAGAGCAGGATGTTTACCTGAGATCCATGTATTTGCCAGACTTACAAGGTCTCCTCAGCAACTGTGAGCCCCTGAATCTGGCTAAATTCTGTGTGGGTTAACACAAACATTTTTGGACGGGTGGCTCCATAGCTTATAACAGTTTCCCAAGGGGTCTGTGACCCTATGAAAAACTTAAAATCACCACTCTGGGGGAGCAGAGGGGATCATCTTAGTGGGTTTGGGCAGTCTGCAAGATGAAGGGAGGGCCACACCCTGTAGTGACATTTCTTCTAAGTCCTCTCTCCCAGGCTTTCCCAGGCTGCTCCCTCAGGCTAGTTCTAAAGGACACCTGGTGGCTTGGCCTCCTGGGCTCTCAGCCTCTAAGGTCAAGCAGCAGGGGCTGAGCCTTCTGAGCCAGAGGGACCAGAAAAGACTCAGGGATAAAGGGGTCAGGGAGGTCAGGAGCCTCACTCCCCACCTCTCATCCCCCTCAAAGCAGACCCCGCCCCCCACCCCACCCTTTCTTCCCTGCCAGACTGGGCAGACTCTGCAGAGTTAGGAATGGCTGAGCTAGAGATCTGGGCTCCGAGCTCCGGTCCAAGGGTCCAAGAGCCCCACACAAGTAACAGAGGAACCCTAGGCTTTTGATGGGGTTCAGAGCAAATGCACATTGCAGCCACAGCAGCCTTTATTTCAGAGAATTTCCTTTCTCTCTTTCTCTTCCCACCCCTTGCCCTGATTTGTTTTCTCCTCTGCCGACTGATCCCGGCTGTAGAAGGAGGGTCCCCAGAGAAAGGCAAAGTTGCTCTGAACAGCATCAGTGTGCAGGCCTGAGAATGAGGCAGACCTTCCCCCACAATCTGGAAGGGATGCGAAGAGTTAAGGGGAGCGCTTTCAACAGAAGAGAAAACCCAGCTCCCTGCAGACAGCAGGCAGGAGCCCTCTCCATTGTTTCACCTGGCTATAGGATTTCTCCCCGAGACAAGGAATGGGCTCTAAAACTCCGGTAACTGGATCACTGGGAAGGGAGGTTTTTTAAAAACCAGCTGACAGCTGAATAATAGGAATTACCAGGCAGGCCGCCCTGGGGTTACGGAGGTTTGTAACTCAACCCCCAGGGAGGGGTTAGATTGGAAACTGATTTATGGGTAAGGTGGGGGTCTTGGGGGGGGAGCCCATAGTGCTTGACCCCCTTGCCTCTTAACTCCCTTGAGGATGGATCCTGAATGTAAGAAAGACCAAGAACCTGGAAGGCTTGGTGTCCCTTCCCTCTCTGGATTTGCTCTAACAGAGTGAATTTATCTCCCTGTGCATGATTCCATCTGCCTGCACAGGAATCAGTTCCTCTCTTCTGAGTTGCAGTGTGTGTGTGTGTGTGAGAGAGAGAGAGAGAGAGAGAGAGAGAGGAGTGAAGTGGGAGACAATAGCAGAACAGACAGCAGACAGACAGATTGACTTCTGCTGATTGGATAAACAAGTGGAGAGACTTGATTTCCCAGTCAGTTGGCCGACCGCACGCCAATCACTAGTTCAGTGGGACTAAAATAGAAAAAACAGGTACTAAAGAGAAAACATTTGGGAATTCGGAAACCTGCATGTAGAGGGCAACGTGCAGACGGAGGCGGCCCTGCCACCGCCCGGAGGAACCTAGGAGATGAGGTGAAGCCCGTGAGTTAGGACATTCAGCGCAGATTCAATTTTGTTTGGAGGGACATGCGATAACTATTTCCTGAGTGAGCAAATGGATGAATGTATATTTTCACATTTAAAAATATGAATATTAGGGACTGAAAAAACCTTCAGTGAAGCATTTTCCATGAACGCCCCATCTTACATTGTGTTTGCCACTTGGGACAGTTGGTCTTACCTGAGTTTCTTCTCACCAGCAAATCCCTAGAAGGCAAAGGTGATGCCATCAGCGCTTTGGTAGCCTCAGACCACCCTCCCCCAGGCTTGGCACATAATGGAACTACGTCTACGGAGGCCAGTTTACAGAATAACCCCAGCACGGCCCTCAGCATCCAGCCTCAGCTCCCTTTCCCCCCACTCAGCGTGCCCAGCCTGCAGGGAAAAAGTTGGCCTGACCCTAATGAGAGATGAAGAAACCCAATTTAAATACTCTTCCTTTAAATCTACTTCCCCCAGCATGCAGCCTCTTTCCTGGGCAAAGGTACATCAATACATCAGTACGTATTTTCTTTGGGATTGTTAGGGAAACATCAGAAATTTGCAGCTGAGGCCAGAGAATGATCAATTGTGATCAAGGAAATCTGCCACTCTAGAAAAGCTGGGGACTGGTCACTTCTGGACCTAGAGCCTCCCAAGTTTTGAATCTGGGGTTCAAGAGGATCTGAGCAGAGAAGACAAGTTGAATCAGCTGTTTCCCAGCCAACCCCTCAGCCCCACTTTCCAGGAGTAGAAGAGGGTCTCTATCTGCCAGTGAGGGAGGTGATCGATCACCTAGGTATGAGTTCATTAAACATTAACTAAGCAGCTGCCATATGCTAGGCCCCTCCAAGGCTAGAGGTGCAGATGCAGTCCCCCGGGGTCCTGGAGTATATCCACACCCTTTCTTCACAACACGAACCTTCGTGCACACGAGGAAGACACGGGGACGGAAGGAAGGTATGGCCGAGTTGCAACTGGACAAGCTAAGGGTAAACAGCCTTCCTGGGGGGGAGGGGGGGCTGGGCCTCCCCGGGATGACCTTGCCTTTCTCCTGGAAATGCCCAATGCCTCATTCTTTTCTGCCCCCAAAGCCTACCTGTCATCAGATCGAGTAGAAAGAACCCTAGGCTAGAAGTTCAGGAGATCTGGGTTCAGTCCCCAGCTGTGCCAGCAGCAGGAGACCTTCCCATACTTACATTTCTGTCTCTGCCCCAACAGAGCCAGGCTTGGCAGAACTTGGGTAAACTGCCTGGCTCGGTGGGGGGTTAGGATTTGGGGCAACACCAGC